GGTAGAAGATGGCTAACAGAAAAACAACTGCTGCCTTGATACTTGATATCAAAGTAGTTTTTCCCTTTAATAGATAATTTCCCCCTAATAATTTAGATAATTAACTTGTTGCGATCATTTGCGAGATTGAGACCTTGCCAAACAAAGATGTGCATTTGAGTGTTAGCCATCAAAGTCTCAGCTCTAATTAACACTCGAACGCCAAGTTTTCGGTTTTATTCGTTTTGTGCACTCTCTATGAGTTTGTAACGAAACTGATTGGTTGTTTGTAACATTTGGTCTCGTTCATTCGCTCTCCCAACACTGTTGTAAGTTCAGATTGGAATTCTAATATTCTTCTTTTCTGCCTCTCAGAGTGCAATACGACCCTATGTTCTATGGTAATTTTTGCTCATCTGGATGAGTACTATCACCCCTCTTAATTTGTAAAAACAATTTAGAATCACCCTACATAAATTTGGATTCTAGAATTCTCGAATATTTATTTAAAGAAAAAATCCTTTATATTCTTCTCTTTTACATAGCTGATTGACATTCCTCTTAAATATTTTAGTTTCACTTCATAATGAATAATAATTAAAAAATGGATATTAAATTTATACTTAATAATTAATTACGTTTGAAGTTAAATGTTTAATTTATTAAAGTTAAAAAAGTAGTTAGCTATAAAAGTATCGAATTTCGTAGCAGAGTTTAATTAATTATTTATATTTTGACTAATATAGTAAATAATAGTCCACACTAATTAATCTCTATATTTTGATTTAATTAAATTGTACGCTAAATAATATACAGTGATTAGTTAGTAGTTTTTAGCTATTGAAACAAATATTATAAAATAAGGAATAATAAAGTTTGAATAATCAAAACACATTTGATGAGTTAAAAACCATAAACATTTATAGATAAATTAAATTATATATTTTAATGCAGTAAAAGCACAATAATATATTTTGACTCGTTAGTGAGACAAATAATTGATTAATAACGAATATAAATATAATATTAAAACTTAAAGTACGCAGAGACATTTTAATGAAATTGGAATTTTTATACAAAATAATCGTTAGATAATTATCTTATAAAATGTATTAGATAAAATTAAAATTAAAGCACGCGAAGCAAAGCTTAAAAGAAATTGAAAAGTGTATTTTTTTTAAAGAAGAAATGTGTATATAATCGAAAAATATTTCACTCCTTATAGTGCACTTTTTAATACCTCTCATGCTAAACGATATGACGTGAGATTACTGCATATCTGCACATGTCTCATATGAATTCTAATCTCATTATCATTTTATATATTTACATAAAAAGTTAAATACATCATCACATAGAATCGAATCATATATTCTTTCAAAGGCATACATCTTTTACATCAACATCCATGTATACATAAAATATGTTTTATAACAAATACAGTTATTGATGAACACAGACACTGTTGTACAAAGAACAACATTATAAAGCAGTACTTCGTACGGAACTTTTTGCAGTGAAACAACATTTTATTGCATCTGACTATTCGAGCAGGTGCAGTTTATAATAATTTCGGAAAATAAAAAATATAAGTCCATTATGGCTACTTAACTTTCCTCTTAAAGCTAAAAAATATCATTACTTGTACTAAAATATCAAGAACGTGAAATATAAATAATTGTATACCTTTTAGAATTTGTGCGCTTTTGTAAGCACTTGTTAATTTGCTTCCGTAACCGATTTGGTATTTTACTATCTAGATAAAAATAAAATATTGATGAAAATAAGTATTGTTTTGAATTTACTAATGTGCTAATCTGAATTCAGTAGAACCCCAAGTAACTGAGGATGCCCAAACAGAATATGTAAGTAAACAATTCATATGTTGTAACTGGTAATATAAAACTTTACCATGCACCTGGAATAGCTACAAAGGTTTTTCATGGAAATGGTTTCATTGCAATTTGAACAGTATTTTTAAATTGAGAACATCAGGAAGACAATAGTAATAATCGCTGATAAATTTATATTGAAAGGACTGCGGAGAGCGAGGAAAGACCAAAAATATTTTGCACTCCGAAAACTTCATCTTTCCGTTTTAACACTTCAGAAAGGAATTTTATTATTAAAAACAAAAGTTATCATCTTTTGTTATAAACAGAATGACTCTTAAGTCTAAATGATAATAAAAGTTAACACATTCTAACACATACAAGATAATTTCAATTTTGAAAGCTATGACCAATATGAATAAAAAGCACATTAATATAAATATACAAAAGCACATTATTTTATATAAAATAAAAAGTGCGTTATTATTTGAAAGGAAGAATTATATTTGAATAAAGTTTTAAGAAAAGAAGTATTTAATAAATAAAAGTCTGCATAAATAAATATACTATAATAATATTAGTCTGCATAAATAAAAGTCTGCATTGGATTTTATTTCTGAAGCAAACGATAATGTACATAAGAACTATAAGAAGAAATTTAATAATCGATGTATTTATACCGAAACAGAAATGTATTTTATTCATTACACCAATGGCATAAAATAACACTGATTGCAAAATGTTATTCCAGATGTACAGATAAAGTTACTTTTTAACCGATTGAATCTCCTATGATTATAAATCAAATATCAATATCAAAAATAAATGAACGATTAAAAAAATGAAGGAAACTTTTAAGAAACTCAAAATGATAAAATGTATTACAAAATGATTTGCTTTTGGTAGCTTCAGTCATTTTCCTTTCATTATGAGATGAATTATTTTCATTAAAACGTAAAAACAACAATACGCACTTTTAATTTTAGCCATATAAATGATACGCTATAAAAATAAGGATGAATATGTGATATTCTTTACAAAATTAAATTTAACAAGATATGAAAATATTCTTTAAATGTATATATATATACGATTTAATGAAACTTTTTACATATGTCAAATTTACATTTATAAATTTATAAATTATCATCGGTTCACATTAACTTACATAGTTGGGGTTCTACTAGAATTATATTACTTTTACTATAAATAATAGTTAGACACTTCAGTTATGACAAAACTTTGTTGTCGATTATATAGACTAGATCAGAAAAAGAGTTGCAGAAAAAATAATTACTTTTATTTTCATAGCAACTTACAAACAATTTTATAGCCACGAAAACTAGATTTAGTATAGTCACAGTATTATTTAATAATCACATGTTTTAAAGCACATAATTCAGAGCAATGTTTACATATAATACATATAAAGAAGAAAATGTTTTGTACTTCAATGAATTATCAGAACATAAAAGTGACCAAAATTCTTATCACATGATTATTAGATTTGAAAACAATCATTTATTTATAAAAAATTCTCAGGTTTACGACTAGGCAAAGGTTTCAGGAAAAAGGGTGTTTTATAAATGCTTTTTTTTAAGGTGAGATTCATTGTTACTTTAGAAAGCTGTGTGCAAAAATTTATAGCATAAGATAATTTATTCTATTCTACTTTTAGTCCCATTTTCATTCTATATTATTCTATATTTAGTCTAGTAATATATTTCTATGCAAGATAATTCTAGTCTTATTTCTTTAAAAATGTAATTTAGAATTTTACTTAGTATGAAATTTTGTTCAGTATCTCTTTAGTAAATATAAAATCAGTATACAATCAAAAATATTTTATTTCAATATTATTACATAATCAATATGTAATAATATTTTTATCACTTAATAAATATTAAATAATTATTAATATTTAATATTACTTACACTTAATGTCTATATTTAATAATATAGCTATTAAGTGCTACTTTAGATACTTTAGTACTGCCATATTCCATGAAAGAAATTTTAGTACACTTAATAGCTCTTCTGCTATTGGTACATAAGAATATTCAGCGCAAAATTTTATTTGTTCTGTTTTTTTTAGTTATGATTTTCTTTTCTTTCTTTTTTCCTTTTAATTTATATCAGAATTTATTTAAAAAATCTTTTCCCTGAAATTACTGTCCTTCTCAATTTACAATTTAATACATATGAATTCGAAAACGCTACACAATGTAAAATTCATGCAGTAAAATTATATGAAATATTTCACGAGTTTTATCTAGTCGTTATTTTAAATACGAGATTTATTTTGTGACCTCATAATAATTTCAAATTTAGACTGCAATGACGATAATTTTGTGGGAATAAAAAAATGCAGATAATTCGGCTTCCAAAAAGAAAAATATTATATAATAACAATAAACTTCTCCAATGTTTACTTTAAAATGAAATGAAAAATAAAATTTTTGCATGAATCTTGATGTTTAATAATTCTGTGAAATCCCATCCTTGGAAAGGATGTAAAAGCTTTGATACTACGTTTCTTAGAATACATTGCCATATTTACATAAAATAGGTTTCTAAACATATATGTAAAACTATGACCCTGAAAGAGACTGCATACATAATTTAAGCTAAGATATGAGTGACGTGCTTTTAATATGGACTCAGCATTTCATTACAATGTAGATATTACATATCTTAAAGAAAAAACATTTTTGTGCTTTAGTGAATCATCAGACCATAGAAAAGTGACCGACATTTTTATCACATATTTATCAAATCTGAAAACAGTAATTTACGTATAATTTTTTTTTTCAGGGGCATTTAGTCAAATATACTATTAATTTTTAATCATCGTCTGCGTGATTATACCATAAATGATTTCAATTACACAGAGTCAGATCAAAATTTGTTGGGAAAAATTCATTATTTATTTCAACAGTATATTATAAATTATTCATTAAGACGTGCTTTCTGTGGATAACTAAGTGTAAAATTAGAATATTATACTTTTTTTAAAGTACGGGATGGCAACATTGATGAAAAAGTATGCATTCACTGCAATAAAGGGGTGATATATTTGTGAATATTGAATGTTAATTGTTCCAAATCGCCAAAAAAAAAAAAAAAAAAAAAAAAAAAAAAAAAAAAAAAAACGCTTGTTATACTATTCTTTCTTTACATATTCTTTTTTAAATTATATTACAAAATAAATATATTATTGCTATTTAAATTTTCGTTAAAACGTTTTTTATTAATGCCAGAAATAAAATTATAAATCAGTTGATCACTTAGACATAATACCAAAAAAATGCATAAAATCGAAAGAGTAAAAGAAAACGAGAGAGGGAAAGAGGCAGAAACAAGTTAATGAATTAGAATTACCTAATGGAACGTGGAATTTTATCATTAAAATATTTTATTAATTATTAAACAGTAGATAATGTTGAGATAAATGAAGGCACATGTAAACATCGAACGCAAACTAAAAACAAATTATTTTAGGAAATGATAGCATCTTTTATATCTGAATTCAGCCTCAGGAAAGGAATAAGCTTGTCTATATTTCAGAGTTCATGCTAATATACTTCTCTTAGATCTATTATAAATTTGCTTTTATTGTTAGTTATGTTATTTCACCCAACATAAATTTTCAGTTGAAGTCAATATAAAAATGTTGGAAAGCATTGCTAGAATTCGATAACTTAGAGGTCAGGTTTGGCAGCAAATTATTTTACTCAGAAAAGAAAAGAGAAAAATAAAAACATAAAAGTTGCATTAATTTCCAGCAAGAATACAGAGGCAAACTTTTATGGAATGTCAGGAAGAAAAGTTTGAAAAATACTGCTTAATACTGCGGAAGACTAGATGAACACTTTTGACATGCGAAAACAGAAATAAATTCGATTCAGTTTTCCATTGCTTCGATTTTGAGAGATTTTATTACTTTAAAAACAAAAGTCTGATTCTCTAGGGCATGATTTTAACGTGTTGCCAACGGAAGCTCGAATTCTACATTTATTTCCCACAATGATAAATAAAAGACACAGATATATTAAAAAAAAAAAAAAAAAGAAAGAAAAGAAAAGAAGGCAAAGAAAATAAAAAAAAAAAAAAGTGCTTTTGTGACAAAACGATAAAACCGCAACGAAAAGCAAAAAAGCAACTTTTTTTCTTCCTCTTGTTGCCATCCTTTCCGAACCGGATTGAGTTGACACAGGCACGCTTCAGACCACGGGAATTGTTTCGGTAACCATAGAAACGACGCTCCGAGAAGCTTTTATCCGCAGCAAGTCCCTGTAGAACTGCTTTTCGTGCTTTCTTGTCTAACATACTCTCTGACGTTGAACTTGGATTCTTGGTTGGTCTGGTAGCTCTGGCGGTGCTTCAACTCTCTGGAAAAGAAAATCTTATTTATTGTGCTTTCGCTTTCGGTCGGGAGCGTTTATCGATTACAAAGTTCTCTTTCTTCCCTCTTTGAGGGTTTTCTTTCTTTTTCTTTTTTTAATTCTTTCCTGCCGTTACGAAAAAGGATGATGGATTTTAGTAGAAGTCTTTTGATGTGGTTAGCCCCGGGCGGCCGATGTGGGAAAGGGAAATATCTTTAATTTGCGAAAGTTGCATATATTTGTATGAAAGAAAGGATGATGGATGTAAAACAACTTCCCTTAAAATCATATTTGAAGGAAAAGCGTACATCATGGGAAATGATATGATAGGCAGTTTTTCTCTATTCTCTCATCTTATAGTTATATTCTAGACCAGCGGTCGTCAACCCTTAGAACTTCACAGACCACTACATATATAATTCTATATTTAGCGGACCACTAATATGAATTAAAAAAGGTAAATACATTTATACAATAATAATCAGCAAACTACACATATTTCGTTCACACTGAAAAATTACATGAAAATTAGAAAAATCTTACCTTTTTGTACAGAAAGCTTTACATTTCCAAATCACTCAAAAGGAACTTCACGAAAAGCAAGAACAAACCAGCAAAGGCAAAGCGATATCAATAAACTGACAGTGTTATGCCGCCAATTTTTAATTATTGTCAACATAATCATCATCGCTTACTCAGCAGTGGCGACATCGATCAACAGTTAGACAAAACAAAAACGGAAACTTCCAGTGAGGCAATTATAAACAAGAATGCAGATGGTTCTTATAAGAATACATCAAGATGCCTATTGACATGGAGAAAAACTGTGTTATTAACGACCACAACATCATATGTTTGTAATTCAAAAGGAAAGAGAATTTCAGTTCGCGCTAATACTGTTAACAGCAGTATATCCATTGATACCAACTCTCAAATGTAGCTAGATACACCTGCAAAAGTAGCCAAAAAGTTGAATTTCTAAGGAAGAAGGAATTTCACTAAAAGTAGTAGCTAAAAATTAAAAAAAAAAGTATGATCCATATTCCATAATAGGTTTTGTTACTCGTCAATTTTTGAACCGAATCTTCATAAAAATATAAATAATGTCCCAATTTTTCTGCGGACCATCAAAATGTTTTCACGGACCACCGGTTGACGACCGCTGTTCTTTTGTAGTTAATAGAAAAAAGACTTTTCCCAAAATAAAATAAATGCAATGGCGAAGTTAGATAAAGTGCATAATAATCATGTTTCTAACACCATATCCGTAAAGCATGGTTGTAGAATTATTTTATCAGTAGTTATAAAGTTGGTTGCAAAGGTTCACAAAATAATCAGTCTGATATATTATAAACACATTTTAAATTATATTAATTAAATATATTTCTAAAAAACAAGAATTTGATAAATTAAAAAGAACATTTATTGCTTTTAAATCACGCAATTTTTAAGCAATGCGGTTATAATTTAAAAGAAAAAGATCTTATTACGTACTGAATGGGAAAACTTTGCATGTTGATTATTTAAGCAGAAGGTCAATTAAATATCTTATGTAATGTGTAGTGATGACATTAGCCAGGTCACATGACTAATAAAAACATGATAATGTAACATAACGCAACGCTACCACCGAAATATTTGAAAGACTCAGCTAAAGATGTTTCTTAAGTCAGCATTAGCCAAAACTATCTGCCGTTACTTGTACAAAATAGTTCAGAAAAGCTATATCCGATAAAAGGTTTTAGATCAATAGTCCGATTTCAAGATAAGTGTCATGATAAGATAAAAGAAATGTAATAATAATGTAATTGTTGACAAGACTTTGTAATTAAAGCATCATGTATACAACTGCGTTAGGAAATTTGGTCTGAATCGCTATCTTTGCCGAAGGATTTCGGTATCTCAGAGATGATGATCGATAGCAAAAAGGCAGAGCCTACAGTGATCCAACCATGGTCACCGTCCGGAAAAGTCGCTGACATAATTTTTTTTTTGAACTTGCGGCGCATTGACAATTATCAGTGGCTTATGTTCTAACCATCCTCCATTTTGAAAGGAAAAACAGCCTTGGGCGCAATAAACTACTGTCTTTTATAACAAAGGATCGTAGCCGAAATCGTAGTGCTTTATATGGATTAATTTTTCAAACTGAAATCCCAGTGGAGCAAAAGGAAGTTGTAAAAGTAATATCCTTGAAGGCACTTATTTTAAAAGATTGGTGTACGATAAATGGTCAATGAAAACTGACCGTAGATAGCTACTGAAGAAATAGTTAGTTAAAAAGACTGCTATAGTTTTCTCCGTTTAAAAAATATCTTCTTGCCAGAAGGTGATAAAAGTTAGAGAATGTATCTTAAACTATACTGCCCTTGCAAAATATGCAAATTGGCCCCGCTTTGTGGGGTAGATTGTGATCCTAAAATTTAACAGAAGCCAATAATGGATATCTAGAACATATCTATCTAGAAAAATGGATATCTAAAACATATTTTATGTTTATTGTCCTGTTGTTGGATTCTAGTTCTCAGGATGGATAAAGGGCAGCTTTAGCTAGTCGTACTTTCAAATTTGGAAGATCCAAAATACGTATTCTTTAATTAAATAAACTCTCTTCTGCTCTATCCGATATCTTCTCTGTATTGTGCTTCTGTCAGTGGATGAAAAACCTTTTTATGTATCTCAAGATCTAGGTAATTAAGCTTTGAGCACAATATATTGAGTTATGTTCTGATCGGAAATGAAAATAGCTTTGGTAATTAACACTAATACCAACTTCAAACGACGAAATTTTCATCAAAAATCAACTGAATTATACGTGTCTTGATTATTATACGGAAAGATGCATAAAACCGCTGTTGTAGTTTATTTTTGACTGATAAAATATTTGAAATACCTCAAAAGCAAAAATTTTCCATATGATGAGTTTTTATATTTTTTATTGTAACTATATTATTTCCCGAAAACAGTTGAAAGAATATTTTAAAATATATAAGGCACTCTAGAAAATTGTCATTTTGTATGTCCAATATAAGCCAGTTATTACTTCAAATTTAATTTATTATTTAAGCAATAAAACATATAGAAATTATTATGTTATAATTTACTGAAAGAATGCGGAAAGAATGCTGATTTAAGTGTTAGTTAGTAAACAAACTAAATCAGCAGAAACGTAGACGCAATTCCCGAAAACTCTTCTAGAGTCGTAACTTGAGATTACAGAGATATATCCATCAGAATGGCAGAAATGTGTTTAAGTGCAAACTGCTGCCTTAAGAGACGTGAGACTAATATCTGAGTACGCAAAGATACTTGTGGTAAATATAAATAAGAGAAAGAGACAGCGTAAGAGAAAGAGAACTTTGCAAGCAAAAAGTGAAAAAAGAAAAACCTGGTACTGAGGAAAAGCAATAATAGTGTAGAAATATTTAGAGGAAGATAGAAACTTACACTGATTGCAAAAGAATAAGAAAGTAAAGGCCTGAAATGAAGAAATAATAGGAAGAGATAAAAGCTCAGGTTTGGTCATTAGTCTTTATATACTGCCATAAAGTAACATATGAAATATTTAATGGAGGATTATCCTTCATGGAAGATATTTACTATAAAAAAATCTAAACATTTTTTAAACTAACATTTGTGCTAGTTATCTTTTCTTGCAACTCATTGACTTGAAAAACAATGCCTGGATTTGCAGTAGTTAAACTAGTAGTCTATATAGAAAGCGTCCAAAACTGATGAAGAAGATCGTACGTTGATCAAGGAACATGCTAATTGTGTATTTATACAGATAATTTCTATTTTTTTTTTATCTGTTCTCGTCTCCCAAGTCAAGAATGAATCTCACTTTCGACATGGAATTCTAAGCAGTAGAGGCACTTCGAAAGTTTGAATTCCTGAAAATCTCCAACAACGAAATTATTAACAACGCGTCTCTCTAATCTTAATTTGTGTCTTTTTTTGTGTGTGCTCTAACAGTTAAAGAATTTTTAAATTGTAAGTACCGATAAATTATATTTAAAACATCAAATGACTGTCAAATATTTCTATAGTTTTTACTTAGGTTATTCAAAAGGAATAAGGAAATAAGATATTTGATGAAAAGATGTCTTAAATTACATTGTTTTTTATTCGAAAAGGAATAGTTTGAATTATTTCCATCATCATCCATCACTCGAGATAAAAAATATTTGTCTTGTAAACGAAGATATGTCTTTTTTTTTCTTTTAATACTCTATCAATTAAGCCTAAATCCATCATTCTTCAAGGAAACGAACATGAAAGCAAGGAACATATAAAATAGACTCACAAAGCATAGAATAAGCACAATATCATCTAACTTGTTAAAATAAAAGCACTAAATATAAGCATAATGCTAAAGTATTCCTGCAATCTTCCTAAAAATTAGCAAAACATTAAAAAAAATTTTAAATGTTATTTCCAAACTTTTAAAGTTTATTTCTCATTTTAATCATTATTTTAGCTTTTAGTATTCAAATTGTTTAAATTTTTTCTTTTTCCGTCTTTTAAACTTTATTTTACTCATATGAAACAATAAAGCATATATATATATATATATATATATATGATATAATCACTTATGAAAAGCATACTTGCTTTAAAATTATATTATGGTTAGGTAATCAGAATTAAAAGTCTTTTAAAAAATAATAAATAAATTATCAAAGAAGAGTCGAATATTTTGATTTATGCTTTAATTACACTTAATGCAATATTTAATTTGAATTTTTACTTTTACACAATTTACTTCAGTTATTTTTAATCCAGTGTTTAAATAAATGAACATAGATTCTACATTTTGTAAATAACTGTGATAATTAAGAAATTTTCGGATGATTACTCCTTCCCTTTAATCACTATTTATTTATAAGTAATTTGGTATTCGTTTTGGACTCTTTCAAGCATATAAAGTAGCAGAGTTATAATTACCTCGCTACAGCCATAAAAGCAAGCTCTACGTTGATTCCAGTTTTGGCACTCGTTTCCATAAACGCAACTCCATACTCCTGGAAAATAAAAGTTTCGATGGACTTTATTATTAAATTATTTAAGTTTGAACTGGACATTTTGATAAAGTTAACATAAATAATACTCTTTGAAATGCTGATTAACATTGCTTACTTAGATATATTCTCAACCGCAGTTTCGAGTGGAATGCTTCTGTATGTTGTTAACACTTCGAAGAGAATGTTAACGTGTTTGAGGTTGATTTCTGAAGGAAAACAAAAACTTGATAGTCATAAGCTACTTACTGACTACCATTTCGAATTCCGTGATTGCATAACACAGCAACAAAATACTTTTAATATCATTGGACTCACAATGGGACTGAAGTGCGATATTATAGAGGCTTCTATGGTGCTGCAATGACACTCCTGTTCCCACTATTCTAATGTAAAGGGATTAGTCCAGAAAAAATTTGAAATCAGTTTATGTAACATACTTTATCTGATAGCATTCTTAAGCACGCGGTTAATGCAATCTAGAGTTGTACTGAAAAATATTATGCATCTATGTAGAAACAGATTTCTCGCATAGTAAATTTCGTTTTATGTTTTGCCTGCATTTCTTTTTATTATTATTTTTATTTGTATTTTGCTATTATTTCAGCCTTCGAATTTCTCGGATATCCTAGAAAATATTTGATACACATTTGCAGAAAGGGCGCACAATTTACCTTATAAGAGAATCTTTCAAATCATTTTTTAAAAATAGCATTAGGTTTATTATCGAAGAAACTATCGACGTACTGTTTGACAGTCTTCGACAGAGTCCAGGTTGTTCAGAGAATTTTAAAGTGACCTGAACAGATGAAAATCTGAGGGAGAAAAAGTCTAGTGAATAGGAAAGGCGATGATACAAAGCATAATCAATAAGACTTAAGGTGTTTTCGCCCTCCTTCCAGCATGCCTTCCTGGTGTAACGGTAGCACACTCGGCGCGTATTCGAGAGGTCCAGGTTTGAGTATTGGCGAGGGCATTGCTCATTTTTCAAGTCTAACCTAACCAGTGGCGCCCGAACTAAAAGGTGGTGGACAATAATTCGTCACCACTAGGATTTGGCGATTGGATCCCCTAATCCCCAATCGCTCGTTAAGAGTTCCGGAAAAAAAAAAAAAAAAAAAAAAGAATGACTCTACAAATTTGTCTGACAATCATCCGCATAGGGGGCCGAGTGCTGTAATGATGAAAGGCAAAAATTTGGCGATCGGTCAGTTCTGGTCGCTTTGCTTCAATTTCTGCTTTTAAAACTGGCATTTTGGTCTGATTTTTGTCTGATTTGGTGACAACAATCCATAGTATTGTAGTTCACAAGTCTTTTGTAGTCCCAAACATGCACAAAATATTACGTTTTAGGAACGCAGACCTCTAAGTTATTAAAAGAGGTTCTTTTAGTTTATCCCATGATCTTTTACATGCAGCATTATTGCATATTATCAATTTCTTATCCGCAGTAGTGAGCCTTTAAAAAAAAAATCTTTTCTTTTCAGAAATTATATGCCGAAACTCGAGCAAGCATATTCTATACCATTAAAATATGTGATACCCATATATAGTAACGGCTTACACGCCTAGTCTTCCTCAAATAATCATATACAAACACGTTTTAGAACATTTAGTCTAACTGTAGTTTCTGAATTGTATAAATGTGCATTTTATGTGATACCTTCTTTTTAATAGCTCCTTTTTTGCAGGAGATGGTCGTCCATAGGGGCATTATTTCCGAGGCTGAAATTTCCGCGCTTTAACTTCTCAAACCACCTTGAAATTGTGCCATCACAACCAGCACTCTATCCGTATATAACGTATATAGCGTTAATTTTACGAGCAACCTGACTAATATTTTTTTCAAAAGCATAATATGATAAAACTGAGCTTTTGGGTTCTCTATTCTTAGTATTTACTTACTTAGCACCAGCTGTTATATGACAATCAGCACTTGTACTCAACTGGATGGAGCATTCTATTGTCGCTAGGCCCAGCCAAAAGTTTCTCTGCAATATTAAAATCTAGGATCGTATCTTTTCTTCTGGCATCAACTTCTAAGAGTTCTAACCAGTAGTTAAACATTTTACCAAAGGCCATTAGTAATCATAATAAAATAAGAGGTGTAATTGAAAAATACACCACACCCGAAGACGAGATCGATATCATGAGATAAACTCAGTAAATAATTATTAAATACAATTAAATAGCATGTCAGTAGCAGTCAAGAGGCAAGTATCATTCATGGCAGCAGCAGTCGAGATGAGAGAGAGGCATCAGTGAGTGAAAGTGCTCGAGTGAGCTATGGGATTGGTCGGTGCAAAATAAGACCTAAGTTTCATAAAATTGCTGAATAAAAAGTAAAATAAGACTGCAGAAGTTCAAAAAGACGAATTTGAAGAGATAATAATGTCTTTATTATTCAGAAACACAATTTGGGTACAGTGCAATTAATTAATCATGCTAGAAAATTTATTTCTTTAAAATTGCAGAGTAAACACCACGTGATGCGAGGTGGCCAGTAGCGAGTAAAGGAGTCATAAGACCGCGAACTAAAATTTGCTATAAAACACCACACAGTACTAAATAAATTCTTGGTTAAATAGAAATAATAAGTAAAATAAGTAAGTAATATAAGTTGCAATCAAAGTCCATAAGTCAGAGCATAATCCAAAACATAAGCAAAACCTTGATTAAATGAAGAGTATTAAAATACGTGAATAAAGTAGAATACAATATATACACTGTACACTACCAACCATAATGCATTATGATGGATAGTTCGCGGTATTTTTACTACATTTTCCTCTGTGGGATCATAGTTTGTAAGTTCTTTAATAGCCGGGTATTGGGAGATCTTCACTTTTTCAAAGAAATTGTGTGCAGTAGTTAGTATTTGATCGTGAATCGGTAGAATCTTTAATCCTTACGAATTTGGGAGTTATGCTTTGAAGAATCTTATTCTGTAAGACGTATCTATGTATTATTCTGTAATCTTATTCTGTAAGGTTCTTCGAAGCATAACCAATGCACCTTGGTTTCTGTTGCGGAATTTATAAAGTTACTTCAGAAGATAGGACCTATATTCCTGGGACATCATCCAAACTGTCAGCGTTCTGTTTGCTTAAAAACATCGTGAAAATAAACAATCAAACGAACTTTCTCAGTTTTAGACAATTCAATTTAATTGCAGTTAAAGTAAAGTAGCGAACGATAACACGGCGAAGGTAAAAATTTACTCTTACAAATATTAAAAAAAAAAAAAAAAAAAAAAAAAACTGAAATATTTCAGATTTTAAATTACGTCCAAAGGGGCGTTTTTTTAACATTTTGTGTGTTACCTTTCTTTATTAAATATCATGTTCCTCGCACTTAAACCATAAGATCCAGTGCAACAGCAATATCGCAAAATAGTTTTAAAACGAGCATATCTTTAGAATTTCCGATACAGAAACTCACGCGCTGGAGATAAAAATGTTTTTTCTGCACAACGTTGCCATTACTCGCTTTGAAATCCTTGAGTTTCTTAATCAAAATTCGTCAAAGTTTTAAAAAATAGGAAATCGATCATAAAACAAATTTCAAATTTCAAATTTGGTCTTCCACATGCTCATATTCGTTGGAGGATTACGTTATTCAAAATTCGATGACTCTATGTACCGTTGTTTTATCACAATACGAGAAATATACATACATTTATGCAGATTTTTCATTATTTAATTTCTTCAAATATAATGCAGGACTCTAACATTTTGTGGCAACAGTTTGAAAAGTGAACCGACATTTATGAGTCCGACGCAAAATGCCAAAACGAAACTAATAGTCCTTCGGGATTCAAATCCCTTTGGACTAAAAAGAATGAAAGAAATTTAAAAAAAGTTAAAAATTTGAATAATATCATCTATAATTAAAAAAATAGCTTTTCATATATTATTAATCAATATTTATTACGCATCATTGAGGGAAAAAATTTCATATAATTAATTCTCCGTAAAAATTTATTTAAAATTTAAGGTTAAGAATAGCTGTGGCAATTCACTGTAACAAAAATCCATAAACCATTATTTGGCATTACTATCGCTCAAAAAAAGATGACAAATTTCAGAACGCGAAAATATGTAAATTCGTGTATATCTTAGAAAATTTTGAATGAAAACTCTAATTTTTTGCAGGTATGCTTAGAACTACACCTATTTTAAGATGATGGTAAAAATTTTACAGCTTATAATTCCAAATGTTTTCGAAAAATTTATAAAAATTATTTGAAAATAGAAATTTAAAAAATAAAACACAAAAAATGGGTGAATTTTATTTGGAATGAACCTAAATTTCGAAATGTGAAAGGAAAAATTAAAAACGTTTAATAAAAAAAAGAGATATTAATAAATATATGCCAAATTCAATTAACATTGAGGAGCTAAAATTTTGAGAGCTAATGTTTTAAAAACTACTCGTGTGATTTTTACAAAACTTGGCAGTCTGGCATAATTTGAATCGTAGAATCGAAATATGTAAAAACATTGGTATGTTATTTCAGGAAAAGACCAATTTGTGTCAAAATACCTATGTTAGAACAATGATATATATATATATATCTATCTAATACATATCCTAAGTCGCGCTTTCGAGACATGAAAAACGCAAGTTGAATTTCGTCAATCGGCCCAATCGCTTTCGAGAGATGAAAATTTGTCAATTTTACTTTTGTCAACCGGTCCAGTAGAACGGAAGAGATGGAACTGTCCCCCCTTTTTTTTGCCCAGTGTACATCATATGTGCTGTTCACATATTTGCAGAGTTCCTGTGTAATAGTTGCTTGTCACATTCATAGTTGTCACTTGTGTTATTCACTCATTTACAGTTCGCTTACAATCCGCATATGTATAGTCTGCTTGATAACTGAAGGTGTCACTGAGAAATACAAATCATTGTATAGAGTTGAAAATGTGTAAATTGAAAAACATGTGCGGTTCACTTTTACAACAGAGCAACATTTTATGTCTCCTTGGCATTTTGTACTG